ACACTTAGAAAAAAAATGAGGCGGGTGAACAGTAAAAACGCTCACTGGAAATTGCCTTTCCTGCCGGATAGATTTTACGAAAATGGGCATAACTTCTTCGTCCGAACTCCGAATGAGGTGAAACAAATTGATTTAGGTAGCTAACTCAAAGGGCTTTCCATGGATATATTATTTGCCACCCAATTAATTTGTGTGCTAGGAGATATGACCCTCCAAAGTAGACCCTCGAAAAAGGCTTCACTTGGAAATTTTGGATTTTGATACGGTTGCTCTAAAATTTGGGTTAGACCCATTTCCCACTCAATTTGACCCCCTAAACAAGAATATGAAGTCGGATTTTCAAGAAACGAAACGGATTTTGAGATATATGGAAATTACAATTATAGGTGTTTCCGAAGCACATTTTCGGGCATTTTTGGGGTCGTTTCACATGGCTACCATACTTAGTGCATTTTTGTACTAACCCATATTTTCCTATACTAAGTGTAGGGTCCGTTTCTAAAGGCGGTCATCATTTGGTTCAAGCTTGGATTTGACTATTCTCTTAGCTTGTGGTGAGTCCTCATAATTCGAGGACGGATGTTTCACTTGTAGTTTCATTTCTAGTATTACATTTTTGGACTATGTTAAATGGGTTGTGTCCCTTTTCATTCTAACTATTGTAATAGATGGCTATAATGAGACAAGTTTAGACTTCCGCTTTCCTTTATGAAAATATTGGACTCGAAATGCATTTTCTTTTATTTATTGTTCTATGCTTATGTTATGATATGCTAAGTGGCTTACATGGTACCTTTCGGGGTTCTATGTACCTTGTTACATCTAGGTAGTACCCCTGGGTTGTGACACTTATGAACTTGAATTGTCTAATGAATTGGCATCGGTGCCTCTAGTTTTCCATGTCTTTATGTTGAAGAAATGTGTTGGTGATCTGATATCTATAGTTCCCTTAGGATGTTTGGGGGTTAAGGAGAATCTTTCTTACGAAGAGGTTCCGGTTGAGATTCTAGACAGGCAAGTCAAGAAGTTAAGAAATAAAGAATTCGCTTTCGTGAAAGTGTTGCGGAGGAATCAGTTACTTGAGGGTTCTACTTGGGAGGCCAATGTTGATATGATGTCCCGATATCCTCATATCTTTCCTTCTACCCCTACTCTAGCTTGAGGTGATGAGTTCCTCATGGTGTGCTCTCTTAATTTAATGTGTCTTAGACATTTCAATGATTTTCTCATTTATGCATTGTCACGACCCGAGAACACCCCCTAGTCTTAACACGGGGTACTCGACCCCGACGGGGCTTTCTACAAGCCTCATAGCATTCATTCATCGCATAGGTAATAGAAATAGTACGGAATTAAAACTTTTCATTTAAAACCATACGATTCAAAACATTCATTTAACAATCTTTCAAAAGACACAGCGGAAGTCTAAGTCTCACATGGCCATCTTAGACACAATCTCAAACATACTAGGGACACGGCCCCTTTACAATATAAAACTACTAAATGTCTATCACATGAAATAAAGAGAAACTTTTAAAACACTTGTGCTCGATCTATGAAGACATACCACCTGATCTTGGAGGAATAGCAATCCAAGCACTTCAAACTAGGGAAGCAAATTACTTGCCAGAACATACACTTGTAGTAAAAATAAGAGAATATAGGTTAGCACACAAAAATGTACTAAGTATGATGACCATGTAAAACATGCTTAAAAGGGGACATTTTAGTTGGAAACAATGCATTACGCCACTTTTTAAAAATATCATGTACAATAGCATAAAAGACATACAATACAAGTATAATCATCATGCAAGTCATAATACTACATTTAGGCAATATCATCATATAAACCATTACCTTCACCTTAGAGCTTCACCTCAAGTAACCCTTATGTTATACCTTGTGCAATGTATGGATAGCGTCCCATACCACCATCCACACCAAGGCACCACAGTTAAGGTCACCAAAAGTGAACTTACCATTCAATC